GAAGTTATAGTTAAGCAATTATCTGAGGTGATAAGTAACTAAGTACAGTTACTCAAGCACTATACTTAAGTACAATTTTGAGATACTTCATTTCCATTGTATGGTACTTTGTACTTCTACTCCACTACAATTCAGGTAAATGATATACTAAAAGTACACATACACTAAATTATATTAGTAGCTTAAATTACTTAAAGGAATGGTATGCTCATGACACTCATTTAAAAAAATGTATCATCCGATAAAACAGACCAGTCTCTGCCAGTCTCTCTTTTTTTTTTTTAATCCGATGACATTATCAGTGATTTTAAACTGATTAATTACCGAAATAACATCAACCACTGTGGGCGGCGGCCATTTTACCGGACGTGACGTAAACCATGCGTTTGGGTTTCGAGGACACGTTGATGTTCATGTTATTTACTGTAGTTACTCTCTTCAAATATGCCTCATTGTATCGCGAAACATTGCCACAATTCTGATAGGAACAATCCACGGAATGCTCGGTTCCATCTGTTGCCAAAAGGTAAGCGTAGGAAGTACGTTCGGAGGCAGTGGCTAGCGAAATGTGGCCGGCCCGAACCGAAAGATCCACAGGCGCATGTATGCAGCGAACATTTCAAGTTTCCGGACGACTACTCTGAGAGTATGATAAAACATAACATGGGATTTATTGAACAACCATTACTTAATGGAAATGCAGTGCCATCGGTCTTTCTGGTGTCATCACCGACCAGGACACCAGTTCGGCCAGTTGAGAAATCGCCCTCTGCAAGTGTGAAGCGACGGAGGACCAGAAGTAGTGCTCGGAGTAAGAATAAGGTATGTTATGGCGCATTTCCATTGCAGCGGGTAGCCCCGTTTAAACGTCCTTTATCGTCCAGGCCAGGCCAGTTTTTGGTGGCCTTTCCATATAGCGTAGTACCGGCTAGTGGGTATTTCCCCCCAGTTTTTCCGGCCCCATAAAATCGTGGTTCTAGGGCCAGGGACAACGAGGCTGAGTATGCTAAACTAGAGAGGGAATCGCTAGCAAGGGTGGTACTACATGCATACATATCTAGTAATCAAAATCATTGTATGTACTAAGTAGGCTCGAACCTGTATGGCTGAATTCCCCCTTCCAATCTCTTCATATTGCTCAAAACTTCGCCATGTTTTCGTGTGTTTACCATAGACTGTATATGGTGTTTACAAAGTGAACGCATGGATGACGTCACGACCATCACGTGACTACTGAAAATGGGCAAAATGGCAGCGGCCTGACGGAATATACAGGTTTTGATAAAAAAGAGCTATAAAATCATTATTTACCGGGGAATATCGCTGATTTCTTCAGGGTATGGTTTAAACCTAATGTTAAACGAAATACTGAAGTTTTGATTAATTATCTAATGAGTGGAGCATTCCTTTAACAGATTTTGATGACTAATGTGAAATATAATCAACACTTAAATAAGACTTTAGTTACACCTGTAGTAATATTTACAGCATACAAAGTCATTAAAGCTAGCTGCACCTGTACCAGCTTGATAACACATGAATGCATTAATGATTATAATGAATACATATGATATATATTATTCTTAAATGGGCCAATCTGCATAGCGAGTACTTTTACTTTGAGTAATTTAAGTATATTCTGATGCTTATACCTGCTACACTGAGCTGGAGTACAGAGTCTAGTAGCATTGACAAATCTGAATCCATGGGAATATAATGTATTTTTAATCATCATCATCATCAATGTACCAGTTAGCCATTGGTTTCAAGAAGCGTACCTGTGTGAGTGTAAGCACGGCATGTTTTAACATCAAGTTAAGGTTGAAAAAAAGAAAGGAAAAGCTGAATGGACAAGTGGAGTAATGAGGGAACAATGGTGGGTCAAGTATTAAGTGTGTGTGGGTGTGTTATCAAGCATGCCAAGGAGATTATATATGAATTTCATACTAGGCTGTATCACATGAGCTTATTCAAACTGCTGTAGCTATACACACACTAAACCCACATCCGCACACACATGCTTCAGTCTGGTTCAGTGCACACCGCCCTCCTCCCAAACAACCCTTTCCCTCGCAAGCTCTCCATCTTGCCCCTATTTACTTCCCCCAACCTTCTATTTGCCTCCACTCCTCATCTTCTTGTCCTTCTCTATTTATCCCCCTCCTCCACATTTAGTTTCTTCCATCTGTCTGTCTGTTCCAATCAGCCTCTCAAGCAGCCAGTGGTTTAAAAACTGACAGTTTTCTGGATGCTTGGACAGCTGATCAATTGTTCCTGCTATCTAAATCTGTTGTACATTGAAATGTGCCACCACTTAGGTCCATGCACGGTTATTTTGAAGCAGTTTGGGTGACCTGATCCCATCTACTTTGCTAGTTTACTCCACTTTGGAAGGCGGTTTCTCATCTCACCCAATTCTGGTTGACATGTTCTCCTCTAGATCACATGGCAAGCCTTAAACATGCGGACCTTTACTTAGTTTACCTCTGAAATTGCCTTTTTGGTTTGTAAATTGATACAGAGCAGCAGTTTGTTCTGTATTAAGATGGATGAGGTTTGATTCAGACAAGGCAAAGGGAGGGAGTAGTAAGGAATGGCCCACTTTAGAATAAACGCTGTGAGCTGTCTGCCACTGTCCTCAGTCGAGGTTGGAGTAGCTAGCTGAGCCTTTTACTCACTGTAGTATGAGATTCTTAATCTGCCACACCTGTTTGTCTTTATGTTCCTTCGCTGAACACGTGTATGTTTGTCCGACCCTTATAGAGCCACGAGAAGGCTGATGTCATTGTTGCCTGTGTGTCCCATTGTGAGCAGCAAAGTGCCGCAGATTAGAATCAGAAGGCAGCTTATGAGTTATGCTCTGGGCTTATGACTGCCCAGGGATAAAAGGAGAACACATGAAACCCAATCCCTTCATCAAAGAGGCGACAGGGAGTGGAGAAGCAGGCCGAAGAACGAGAGGGTGGTGGGGGGGGTCGGCACCGAGGACTGAGGTGTCACCAGGTCTAATACTGTGGCATGTGAGGAAGGACAGCTGAGCAGCCAGCCCCTCTAAATGGTTAATCTTAAAACACAGGGGACCCACACCTACAAGGGTGCCATTTACTGGTTATTCAATATAGCAAACAGACTAAAACTGAGGGAAAGATATGTGTAACACTGTTCAATCAGAATACCTGTATTTCTCCCACAGAGGGGACATTTACATTTGTTAAAGCAGAAAAGAGCCAAAGACAGCTTAATGTTTACTAAGAAGCATGCGTACATCTAATTTGAACCAAAATGACACATTTGCTTGCTAACGGATTGTCCATATCCTATGCCCTAAATTAAAGCCAGCTTCCTACTCATCCTGGGTTCTCTTAAAGTGTGTATGTAAAACAAAATGTATATTATTTGTCAGAAACAGTGGTAGTTTTGCTTCTAGAGCTGGCTGACTGCCTTGACTCTGGTGCCGGGGGAGTCGAGGATGGCAAATGGTTTGTGATCGAAAGAAAGTAGACCAAAATGGTGAGGAGGATGAAACCTAGCAGAGAGAGCTGAGTTAAGTCAGTCAGACAGAGGATAAGTGATATGGTCAAACCAGCAGCTTCTGGTCGTCCTTAGCTGCCGATCCTTGTAACGTCTACAGAGGATGTCAAGATGGAAAGAGAAGAGGCTAGAAGATAAGTGAGGAGTGTTCACACCTGTTTGGAGATTCAGGAGGTGGCCAGCGGGAGACAGATGGGTAGGGTGGGCTGTCTGCAGAGAGCATAATACACAGAAATATGTTTGAATATGGCTAGAATACAACAATGATGATATTGGCAGGAGCAGGAAAGCGAGGATGAGGAGGAAGACGGGGATGAGCCAGGCCGTAGTTGCTGTAGCTGTGATCCTGAGGGGTGAGAGTGGAGAAGAAGGGTAAGGCAGGGGGAGATGGGTGAAGCATCACGGTCTGGCTGGCCAGATGGATGGATGGCTGGCTGAGCATGTGACCATGGAAGGGATTAGACAGGATTAGCTGTGGGGTAACCTTCCCAAAGTGTCAGTCTGAGATCCACAGCGCTGTGAAGCTGGCCGCCTGGGAATCCAGCCCAGGGGGCCCCGCAAACACACGCGCACACATGCACACACTCCTGCCACACTAGGCACCACAGACATATATTTCGTAGAGTGGCATGTTCAGCAAAGTCAACGCACACCCATTATTGACTCATGTTTGGACAGAGGTAGGCCTGAACTTAAAATAGATATTGAAGAAATGCAGTACACTTAATTCTGTTTTTTTTCTGTTTGTTTACTGTAATATCAGAAAGCATACCTGTTCTACATGTTTTAACTCTGGGATGTGGGCCTTGGTCAGCAGAGTGAACCGACTGACTCACTGGGACAAACTTACACAGTAGGGGAGGAGAGGGGGGGTGAGCATTCATGGAATGAGTGTACTGTACTGTAACAATAACACACACTCGCAGAGCTTTGGAAAGCTTTTCCTTCCCACCTCGAACAATTGCAAAATAACGCCGACAACAAATACTTCACATGAAGAAAATATGTTTTAGTCTGCAGGGAGATGGCTAGAGGGAATTGCACAATGAAATAAGTGAAGTGCTGACTGAGAAACAGGGAGAACATGTGAATGAAACTATTAACATCCCATTTCAGTAGTCTTTTTTCACAAAAAAATCAAATATTTGGGCTCCTTTGCCTGCTTTATGGTCATTTTTCGCCGGCACTTTGCATTTATGCTCCTAAACACTATATAGAGAACGAGTCTGGTGACAGCAAATGTTTGCACACGATGGACGTTGCAATTGTTTGCCACTATTTCTTTAAATAATTTAAATCAACTGTAGCTTGAGTTTTTTAGCCAAGAGATCAGACTCTGCACACTTTCATCATTCTTGACTGCAGTATAAAGTGCTGCAATAAAATACTTATCTGTCATTCTTTTCAAGTTCAGAAGCCAAAAAGCATTATGGCACTGACGTCCTATTGCTTCCTCTTTCTGTCTGCAGTACTTATTAGAGATGAAGAGCCTGATCCTTCCTCCAGAGCACATCTTGAAGAGGGGTGACAGCGAGGCAGTGGCATATGCTTTCTTCCACCTGCAGCACTGGAAGAGGGCAGAAGGAGCCTTAAACCTACTACACTGCACCTGGGAGGGCAGTACGTACCACTATCACCTTCTCTATTGAATCCCACTGCTTTGAATATTACGTTTTGTTAATAGTTTTGAAATCATACTTTTTCTTTGGTTTCATTGAATACCAAAACACATAATTATATGTATGGTCAAAATTCACAATAACATACTTGTTGTGTTTGTCATCTTAATTCAATTTCCCATTTTTGCTTTTCCAGCCTTCCGGATAATTCCCTACCCACTGGAGAAGGGTCACCTGTTTTACCCCTACCCAGGATGCACAGAAACAGCAGATAGAGAACTGCTGCCCTGTAAGTGTTATAGCTACGCATAGCTGTACAAAGTTGCTATTGATTTGCTTCAGTTTTTCTTGTTCATCTGCACTGCTTATGACTTTGTGTCACTTTCTTTTTCGGACAATGCTCGCTTTCTCTCCAGCGTTCCACGAGGTGTCTGTGTACCCAAAGAAAGAGCTTCCCTTCTTCATCCTCTTCACAGCAGGCCTTTGCTCCTTCACTGCCATGCTGGCCATGCTCACACATCAGTTCCCTGAGCTCATGGGTGTCTTTGCCAAAGCAGTAAGTACTTTAATTACACATCACATGTATATCCAAAGTTGGTATTGTCATACAGTTGTATAAAAGCTGATTAAGATCTACTTCTAGTCATTACACAACAACACATCTTAATAGGGTAATTGTCTGAAATGAACCTTTTAACCCATGTAGTAATTGCTGCCTTCTATCACTGTCTGAAACACTGGAGGCTCATGGGAGTCGTAGGCTTGTAAAGTCCATGTTTACCACCAAAACAAGCTGTTACCCAACTAAAGCTATCAGTGTCTGCAGCTGAATAACGCAAACATAACAGTGTATCTTACAGCCTCAAAGGTTTAGGAACTTTGAATGACTTGCTCTTACTGTTTATTTATGATGGAAGTGTTGTGTTATCTGTTTTTGCTAGTTTGGCAAACTCCTTACTTCGGCTAATCCTTTGTTTATGACCCTGCTGGTGCGTCCTGCCTTAACATAGACTTGTAGCAAAACAAGGCCACAGAGAACATCTAGTGCTCTTCCTTTTGTTATGGGAAAGATTGAGGGGAGATAAGATTTTTACAGCAGCCCCAGCGAGCCTGGTTTGTGTAATGTTCAGATGGAGTGCATGAAAACCATTGAGGAAGGAACACAGCGATCCTCACTGCCTTCTGAGGAAAAACAGATTTCTGTGAATCTGCTGCTCTTCAACAGAAGATGCAAGCTACACAAGACAGTGGAGGGGTGGCAGCCTGCCTTTCCCTTGTTTATGGAAACCAGACATGCAAGCATAGTAGTTGAATAGGTTTCATATATAGACCGGGTTAGAGGAGCACTTGATTTGCACTTGTCTGGCCGGGCTGATACGTCCACTTATGAGACTATTAAAGTGTCAAGTGTATCAAGCGCACCTCAAGTGGTTTCAGCGAGAAGCCATATTGTAATATTTTAGAGGACATTTCGATATTACTAGCTAACTTAAATCACTAACATGTGTATGCTCTATTTTACCTAATATCTTAGATCTAGATGTTAGTGGTTATATGCCCTGCTGGAAATCATAAAATGGGTGTTTGAGTTGATCCTTTTAGTTTCCTAGCATAAGATGTATATGTTTTGTTTTACCTACAGCAGAAAATAATAAAAAGTTATGATAATTGATTTGTGTAAATGCCACAACGTTGAGTTAAAGTATAGGGTTTATGCAATTGTATTACATATGTATACATTGTCATAGGTGACCCTTATCAAAGTAAAATGTTGTATCATACTGTAGCAACATACTGTATATCTGTCATGATTATAAGGCTCTTTACTCTTAATAGTGTCCGTCCGAGAACCATACTCGTATATCAGATTTAAGAATGTCCTTTTGCACATGTTGTAAACAAATCCCATATATTTATTCCATTTTCACTATTTATAAAATGAAAGAGAAACTGAAAGTCAACATGATTGATTTGATGTATAAAAGTATGTTGATATTTCAATCATGGATAATATAAAGTATATTCCTCTATCAGACTATATATGTCATGCTGTTACTACAAACATTTTTAAAAAATGATAATGAACTGCGTTTGTATTCCCTGTCTGCACTGCTACAAATCAAATGCGCTCTCAGCAACTAATGTTCATGCCTTCTTACTGCCTCCTTGTTTTAAAAAATGTGTTTACAGACCAATAGGCTTAATAGTAAAACACACCAAACACAATGTTTTCCAAGCACTTTACCTGCCATTGTGTTTCTGTTTGAATCACTATTTTTGTAAATGTTTTACTTCAGGACAGAACATAAGTTCCATAACAATGATCTAGTGAACTTGTGGGCAGGGATTTATTTGAAGTGTTTTACTTTAACATTATCTAAGAATGGATGGGAAGAGTTTTTACTGACGTTCAACTGAAGGCTCATTCTGCTTTTTCTCTCTTTCAGTTCTTCAGCACACTCTTTGCACCCCTGGGCTTCTTCGCAGACAAGATGGAAAGCTTCATGCCGTCCAGTTTTTGGCACCAGCTGACTCGAATCTGACCCCAACACACAAACACACACACAGCACACAGAGACACACACATACACACACCAATACCACTCCAAACCCTCAGACATAAAGTGTTTGCTCTCCTGTCTTCAGCATTACTGTCCACTTGCTGCATTGTTACTGATGATGTTGGCAGAGGTTGTATCAACACGGCAATACGCTGTTCAGATCCTCTCCCACACTGTTCCAGCAGCCAGTTTTCCAAAAGCACATTTACTGAACACTATATTAAACAATTTCACAGGGTCGTTCACCTGTCATTATGTCAGCACTGGGCAAATGGAAGTTTTTGAGTTCTCTACAAAACCTGGCTGTAGATTACTTAGTCCAAAAATAAAAGTTGTCAGAGATTGTTCCATCACAATAATTTATTAAATCATGAAAAAGCTTAAATGGGATGTTTTTAATACTTCTAAGACTACTGTCTAATCAGATAAGTTAGTTTAAACAAGTGTCTTACTGACAACAGAAAACAAACATATTATGTACATTAAAATGTCAAATGTAGACAATTTTGCCCAATATGATACTAATTCCCAGCTCAATCATGTCTGTGTATCACAAAAGATCCCTCCGTGTATTTGGAATGAGTGCTTTTGGGTGAGATTCAGAGCCCCGCAGACGTGGCAGATTTAAACTTCTATAAGACCTCCTAAAAATAGAGCTGTGATTCACAGCCCTGAAGGGCCTGCAGTGTATACAACGCCTCTGCAGTTTAACAGTTGTTACCATGCCATGACACCTCAGCACTATATCACTGGGGCAACAGACGCCCCCTCAACATCACATTTTAAATGGTATTATCACCGGTCACAGTTAGGCCTCTCATGGCATTACTCAATTCTGTTGATTGCAGTACAGATACAGAATGTTATTCGTTCGTTTGTTAGTCAACTTCTCTATTCCCAAACAATACTGAGAGGCAAACATTGCAGTACTCGTACAGAGAATATACCAGCACAGGAAATGTAATTATATCTGTAACAAATTAGATTACTGTTTAAAGTATACGATAAGCCCTTAAAGGAGAGATGGGTGGCCACATGAAATGGCAAAGAAAATTAATGTACCATGTGATAATTATTCTATCGGACTAAAGATGCCAGCATCCCCTTGTTTTAAATTCAAATGTAAAAACGGACTGTGCCCGGTTTGAAATCTTAAAGCCTGTAATGTAATATAATCCTATACTCTATGTGAAATGTAATGATTGAAGTTGTGAAAAAAGGTAAAAACATACATTAACTGTTACACCACTTATTTGTGAATGATTTGAAAATAATGCTGCATCCTCCTAAATTTCTATTACATTAACAGGTTTATTACATTTTAAACCCTTTAAGGCAGACTTGTTTACTTTACTTTGTCAAGTTAGGTTACCTGATGTTTATTACATTATATAGATACAATACAATATAGAGTACGGAAATATACTTAAGTCTCCACACCTTATTTAATTTTGTAGAACTTGTAAAAAAGTGCCTTGTAGTACATCCCAATACTTACTACTTACTGCAGCAACAATACTGGTATCTGTTTAGTGGCAACTCTGGTCAACATTGGATGGATTCAATTTGATAGAGCATTCAGAAACTGTGATTTAACTTTTTTGTTAATTGTTCAATGGTTAGCATAATTAGATACAGCAGCCAGGTAACAATGGCAAACACATTTGTGAAAAAGTAGAAAAGGTCCAGCTGGTAATTATGTAATGACGTTTAAAGAAAATGGTGTTACTACAGTATGTTGCAAATTTTGGTTATATTTTTAATATGATCTACTATAAACTACAAGAATTCTGTAGTGCCTGTTTACATTTTTGACATTTGAAATGTGAAATATTGTAATGTGCAGCCGAAATGTATAAGAGTACATGCTGAAGACAGGAGAATGTTTGAAAATTTGAACTCCCCTTGGATGAGTTTGGAAGCAAAACTCACAATAAATTCCTCTTTCAGTGTAATCTCCGTGTGTGACTTTTTTGTTATGTTGTGGAGATCTTTTTATTTTATTCTTCTTGAAATGCTACATTGGAATCTTTTAATGATTTTCTACACACTGAATAATTTACTTTAGTTGCAAGTAACTCCATTTAAACAAAAAGTGGTGTAAAAAAACATGTGTGATCCAAAATGACTACAAGAATGCCAAACAGGTCAACTCATAATTGAACGGCTTTCTGAGTAATGTGGGGGCAATATTTAAATAATTTCCCTTTTAACCCTTCTCTTGCGTTTCGGGTCAAAAGTGACCGAATGACTTTTATTTTAATCATAAATATTGTGTTTTTCATCCAATTGCCTCAATACCTTATATTATCCTCCACACTAGGCCTCTGAACATATACACTTGATGATCACCACTTGCATTGAATTTTGAGTTATTTATTCAACAGTGAAACACCCTTGAAGTTTTCGGTCAGATTTGACCGCCATAGAAAATGAATGGGTATGAGTGTATTATGTTCATCCTGCAGATGGAAAACATCTATACACACACACACACACACATACCATGTATACATCACTTCAGGGGACATTACATTGACTTACATGCATTTCCTGGAGACTTATCCTAACCTTAACCATAACCAACACATGCCTAACCCTAACCTTTACCCTTAACCTTACCCTAATCCTAAACCTAACCAAGTCTTCACCCTAAAATGAATGATTCCCCTCATGGGGACCTCCAATTTGTCCCCATAAGGGAGGCGACCCCACACGTGACTGTGTAAACAGATTTAGGTCCCCACAAGTATAGTAATGCTAGTCCACACATCACACGTTACAGGAACCTCTCCCTTTCTCACGCTGTATGACACAATGTATCATACCTTCTCACAGGTCCAAGCTCTGTGCCCCTCGAGAAATACAAACCTCTCACTTTCTCACGCTAAATGCGCCTCTCTTACTGTCTCTCAAGCAGTTATATTTGTGCCTTGCTCACATTTGACTCATTGACACAATGAGCAGGCGACCGATTACGCTATTTTCTGTACGAGGGGCTCTGGACACATTTTTGAACCAGATGAAGAGGAGATTGAACCAGATGAAGAGGAGATAGAGAAAGATGTCTCAGAAATGGAAGACAACAGCGATCCAGATTATGAGCCTACAACAGACCAGGAAGAGGCACCTGAGGGAGAGGAGGGAGAGGCCCCTGAGGGAGAGGCCCCTGAGATAAAAGCCTCTGAGGGAGAGGAGCCTGAGGTGACATTCCACAAGTTTGCATTGCCAACCATGTGCGTGAACACACATGAGCACACACACACACACACACACACACACACACACATGTTCTGTTCTGAACATGTTCTGGTATATTTCTCTTTCAATAAATGTTCATTGAAGAAAACAGTATCAGTGTCTTATTTTATATTCACCACAGTGAATGCTGAACTTGATGGGCCCACCGGTGGGTCTGGACCATGACATGAAACACTGGCTTGCTTGTATCAAATCAATACATCCCATACATCATTGGAACGGGAAGAATCTCAGCTACAACACTACTAAATCATTTCCATCTCCAGTAAACACAGCCTACATAGCAAGCATTTTTATAATATACAGTAATGTAAAATAAGCACTATCTTTGAACTTACTGCCAAAAATAATATGACATTCACCCCTGGTGTCATTATGTCTCTCATCTCTTGATTCTACTTGCTTTGACTGTCCAAAGGAGATGTCAACCATCAAAATTGGATAAGGGGTTCCAGAGATATCACTGTGCAAAACACACCGGTCAATTTTGACCGAAAATAGCATGGGAAGGGGGGTATGATGACCTAACGCAAGAGAAGGGTTAATGGTGTTTGCAATTTCCCTACATATTTTAAGATCACTTCTGTATGGATAGGAAGTTCCTATCTTGTTCAAGGGCAAACTGCTGCCTCGGTCTGCCACCCTGCTGTCGCTCCTGGATTATATAAAGCCAAAAGTGCCATCATTATGATTATACCACTCCATCGTTTATGTGGCATGTTCCCAGTGAACCACTGGTAACATAATCATACTCCATACACTCACGCTCAAGTACTGAGCAGCTGTAATGAAAAATCACTGTTAAGGACCGTTGATGGGTGTTTGCTCCCAGTGCCAGAGCCAGATTCATTCTGCAAGTTGAAACATGAATTGTTCACTGACCTCCGACTGACCTCAAAGTCATGATGGTAAGAGACAAAAATACAGAAATTAGAGGGTAAACATGACCATTATGGTACAATTAGAGATATGGCAGTTTATTGTATACCCCTCTCATGCCCTTAATTTAAAAAAGAATATAAGATATGTTTGAAACATTTACAAACTTTACATTTACGGCCACTGCCAGTAGGGTTAGTAGGAAAATTAAAAAACTAAATTATGATTCTGAGAATACTACTTGTGTTGGAAAGCCATGCAGTTGGTAAATTATGTACCGACACTTAAACATTACAGTGGAAAGATGCAGCCCTGACCAGGGCCGGCCCTAGACTTATGGGGGCCCTAAGCGAGCTTTGGCTTGGGGGCCCCCCCCTGCGCATTCCCACTACACACAACACGGAACCAACTTTTGTCTTATGATGTTAGCATAAGCACACATATTGTATAAATAATAGAGCTGTCAGTCGATTAAAATATTTAATCGCGATTAATCGCATGATTGTCCATAGTTAATCGCAAATTAATCGCACATTTTTTATCTGTTCTAAATGTACCTTAGAGGAATATTTTTCAAGTTTTTAATACTCTTATCAACATATGAGTGGACAAATGTGCTTTATGCAAATGTTTATTATCATTTGAACAATGACAAATATTCTCACGAATATTAAACACAACAACCTCTGAACATTACAAATATTCGCCTCAATTCAACCTGGAACCTCTCTCATACAATAATACAATACAAAGTGTGTGTGTGTGCAGAGCTGGTACGACCCATTAAGCAACATAAGCGGCCGCTTAGGGCCCCGCAGCCACTAAGGGGCCCCCTAGCAAAAAAATAAATGAAAAAAAAATCTCAGTACACCATCGCCGTGATATGTATGTTTAATTAATTATGTTAATATGCCTAGATTGCCTACTCTCAAAGTCATGTATTATATTATTGAGTCAATAATATAATACATTAACCGTGCTTTACCTGAGCCTCATCATGACACTAGAGAGGACGGCAGGATTGTAATTTCCCGTGTTCAGTGAATGCAGGTACCTATCCTGTGAGCTGTGACAATGTTTAAAATAAACTGTCAGTCAGACTCAGAGTTTTTGAAGATGGACATAAGAAAATGTTTTCTTAAAAAAGACGACAATTCTCAAGTGGTGGCTCACACAACAACCCCAGAGCCACCACCTGAGCCAGGTAAATAAGGTATGTAAATGTCAGTAAACTTCCAAGCTATGCAAACATGTAAGCAAAGTGTGACAACCCTGTGGTTGTCCACCATGTGGTGCTGTTGTAACCTGGGTTTTCCTTGTAATCAACAGTGATGAGACCCACCTGTGGCACCTGATTCCACTATTTAAGAGGGCTGCAGAACAGGCTCTCGTTCTCTCTCAGCTGCCCTGCTCGGTGAACCAGGACACCGCTCCTGTGTTTGTTTTATTGTTGGTTGTAACCACTGCGTTGGGATAAATAAATGATTGTTTTGGGCAACTCCTGTGTGGAACTGTTGTCCTTTTGTTACAAGCAGAGCCAGCTTGTAACATATGGGGGCTCCTCAGATCCAAGAACCAGGTGATAGTTGTTTACTTGATTTGTTTGCCTTGATTGTGTAGACAGTTTGTTCCTGGTGTAGGGCATTAAGGAGTAGCTTTGGAATTACCTTTCCTGATAGGCATAAGCAACATCTCCTTTAGGGGAGCTTGTTGGTTTGTTATTTTTGTTTGTTATTTTTGTGCATAAACATGATTAGACATTTTTGTCATGGGTACACATGGCTTTACTGGGTCATTGGGTAAGTGTTTAAAACACCTGTCGTGGCATGCATGAAGACTAGGGTGAGACAAGATAGTTAGTATTGGGTAGGCAGTTAGCTAGGAGAGAGGTATTCCAGAGTTAAAACAAAATATATATATATATTTTTTTATATGCACCAGGTTCAAGGGAGTTTGCATAATCATGGCTACATTGACAGATTTTGTGAAGTGTCCCAGTGTGGAACTGCTGGAAAAATTTACTAAAGACCAACTGTTAAAAAAAGGCGAGCATTTTGAGGTAGACGTTCCAAAGCAGGGTCGTAAAGACACCATAGTGACTACGTTACAGGCCCAGTTGGTACTGCAAGAAGTTCTGCCAGTAGTGGCTGTCGATGATGGTTCCGAGGATGAGTTGGCTGAGAAGGTAGCTTTAAGTCCAGAGCGGCAGAGAAGTGCAGGTTTTTCTTTGTTTGACTTTGGTAAAATGACATTTGAACAGAGAAAGGAAATAATGCTGCTGTTGTACCAACAAGACAGTGAACAAGCAAGTGCTCGTGAGGACCGGGCTAGAGCTTGTGAACAGGAAACTGAGATGGAGCGTTTAAGGTTAACTACAGTGGTGCGGGAAGCTGAATTGCAACAACAGCGTTACAAGTTGGACCTCATCCAAGAGGGTAAGCTTTCTTCTGGGCTGTCCCCAGCAACTTTTGATGTAGCTTATAACTTGAGGTTGTTACCGAAATTCGAGGAGAAGACTGTAGATTCTTTTTTTGGACTTTTTGAGCGACTTAGCCAAAGACGACAGTGGTCTGATTCGGAGAAAACATTGCTATTACAGTGTCTGCTAACTGGTAGGGCTCAAGAAGCATTTTCTGCATTAAGTATGGCTGACAGTGAAGATTACTTAAGGGTAAAGACTGCAGTGCTAAAAGCTTATTAGTTGGTGCCTGAGGCCTACCGTCAGCAGTTCAGGAAGCTAAGGAAGTCAGAAGGACAGACCTATGTGGAACTTGTTCGGGAGCTGACGATGACATTTAATCGGTGGGTCACGGCT